AATTAAAAAGTTAATTTTTCCAACTCTCTTGCCATAAATTTGAGTAATCAGTAAATTTACTTTTAAGTTTAAGTTATATGAAAAATATGAATATATCTTATAATTTCATTTTACAATTTATTTGTGATTCTTAATGATTCCTATCAATAATACAGTCCAGTTTTAGTTTTTAATGAATCAAATGGAATCGGAATTATTAAGTTCTCACCCCATTTAGCACATGTTTATACAACGAAGTAAATTATTGGAATTTCCAATTTGTTTAATATTTCATCACAGCCGTGCAGCTTGCCTTGTATTTAAAAAAGAATGTACACCCAGTCTTGGGAGGATTTCACTATTAATTCATTGCTTTCAGGCAAGTTTGACAGGGGCAGCTGCCAGATGGTATAATCAATTGACTCGAGCTAAAATAGGGTCTTGGAAGGATTTGGCCAATGCATTTAAAGAACAGTACCAGCATGTTATTGACATGATGTCTGATCGTGTTACTCTTCAAAACATAGAGATGAAGCACAATGAGACATTTCGTCAATATGCTCAGCGCTGGAGGGACATTGCCGCTCAAGTGCACCTACCACTTATTGAGAGGGAGTTTATAACGATGTTCATTGATACATTAAAATCTCCCTATATTGATCATATGTTAGGAGTGGCGACTGAGAGTTTCTCAAATATTTGATGTGCGGTGAAATGATCGAGAGATTAAAGAATGGACAAATTGCTGATAGTCAAAATCCTGCAAAGAACCTTATATGAAAAAGAAAGAAGGAGAGGTAAATAATGTAAATTTCTCTGTGAGTAAGACAAAGACAGGAAATTTTTTATCGCCAGGAGAAACTAAGCGCGAGTATAACAATGAAAAAATGACATTCACTCCTATACCAATGACCTACAGTGAGTTGTTCCATGGATTAGTCCAAGCTCATGTAGTGTCACCAAGATATGTAGATCCAGTCAAACCACCTTATCCAAGATGGTTCAATGAAACGAGACATGCGAATATCATACAAACCACCGAGGACATAATATTGAGAAACGTCTTACTTTTAAAAGAGTGGTTGAGGATCTGATTAAAAGAAAAGTAGTTCCATTTAATGACTCAAAGACACATTGTGTGACTGCGAACCCACTTCCGAATCATCAAAACCAGGGAGTGAACGCTATTGAAGAAAATCGAAGAATTAAAAGAATGATTGAAGAAGTTTGAACGCCATTGAAGTGGGTATATATTCAAATGAAGAAGAGATGGCTATTAAGTCCTATAAAGAAATGTTCAGTTGAAAGGTCAGAAAATTTCTGTGAATACCATGAGGAAAATGGTCATCAAATTCAGGATTGTCAAGATTCAGGCATATAGTCCAAGAATTGATGGACAAGCATGAGTTGCAGTTCTATGAAGAATGAATGATTGAGAATAAAAGATATATTTGCACTTCTAAAGAAAGTTCAAGAGAAGTTGAGAAGAAATTAAAGAAGCCTGTCCTGGTCATATCCAAACCAAATTATGAGGCAACCTGTGGAAGTACAACATCCAGGGTGGTAATTAAAACCCGATGCCTTTTACCTACAAAAGTGACAAGAGTGTTCCCTGGAATTATACATGCCAAATTAATATCCCGGAGAGCAAGGAGGAATATATTGAAGTTGGATTTTTCACCAAGAGTGGAAGATGTTATGCTCCGGGAAAAGCCGTTAAACCAAGAGCTGTGGTTATTGAAGATCCCGAGGAAAAATTAAATGAACCTGTAAAGATTGAGGAGGCTCAGGAGTTTTTAAATTTTCTGAAACCAACACGAATTTCAATGTTATCTCTCTGATTGCATTCTGAGGTACATCGAAATACCTTGATCAAAGTGCTAAATGAAACTTTTGTGGGGAAGGACATTCTAGTAGAGCTGTGGATAGGATGGTGAACCATATAATGTAGGTAATTTTATTATTTCTATGATGATGAAATACCTGAAGAAGGAAAGGCAGATGCAAGGCACTACACATTATTGCTCATTGCAAGGGGTTATCATATCTGGGGTGTTAATTGACAACAGGTCGGCCTTGAATGTTATGCCATTTGCCACTCTGAATAGACTTCATATAGATGCCTCTCAAATAAAGGTTTATGGAAATACTGTAAGGGCGTTTAATGGGACAGAACGTAAAATAATAGGGAAAATGATTATTCCTCTCAAAGTTGGCCCTACGACATTTGAAATAGAGTTTGTTGTCATGTATATATATATCCAAGTTACAATTGCTTACAAGGAAGACCCTGGATTCACATGGCTGGGACAGTTCCTTCTTCCCTTCACCAAAAGATTCGATTTATCATGACAGGACTCTAGTGACCATCAAGGCGAAGAAGATATCATTTACTCTATCACTACCAATGCACCATATGTAGGGTAGATGAGAATGCATTAGAGTCTTCATTCCAATCCTTGGAATTTGTTAATGCCACATTTATCCCTGAAGGCAAAAGAATTCTTATTCCTCAGCTTTCGAAGAATACAAAGATACAATCAAAGGAAACAATAGCTAGAGGAGCAAAAGTAGGAAAAGGTCTAAGTAAGAGACTACAAGGCATCATTGAAGGTTTGAATCCAATTCCAAAAAGAAATTATTTTGGCCTTGGATACAAGCCAACTTACTACGATAAAGTCAAATATGCATAAACACTTAGGGAAAGAATGAAGACAAGAGTACAAGGTGAAGATGTTGTTTGGGGTCCCATGATTATACCACCACTCTTCAAGTCTTTTGTGTCTGAAGGATTTGTAACTGACACACTACAACAGTCAGGGGAAAGTGAAGAAATTAGAATTGGAAGCTTGAGCATCAATGCCATCACAGATGATTCTACTGGAGAATGCTCATTGGAGTCGATTTGCCATTTCCTCTGATTATGTTGAGAGCAACTACACTATTGAATAACTCCCTGTGTTCTATAGCACTTTTTAGAGTATGCATAATAACAAATCTGTCTTTTAACCCAAGTATAATGAGACTGTTGTTATTTGTCATGGTTTTAATAAAATGATGTTTTCTCTTCATAGAAAATATTGCATTCAATTATTCTAATTCTTTATTGATAATTATTCTTTTAGTAAATAGTAAATAAATTTTCGTCCATAGCCAAATATACTTTTTTTCTCATTCGTAGGTTTTCAGATACAACTGTTCGAATATCATATTTTTGAACCACAAATTGATTTGAAAATGATATGTGTCTTGAAGAATCTAAGGGTTATAAAGTTGATGAGGAATGTGAGTTAAATCCTGAAATTGTTAGAATGATGGAGCAAGAGGACAAGTAAATATTACCCTATAAAGAGAAAACATAAATAATAAATTTGGGAACAGAAGAAGACAGAAAGGAGGTCAAAATAGGCTTCACTCTTACCAGAAACAAGAAGGTATCTCATAAGCCTTCTACAAGAATGTAAAGATGTGTTTGCTTGGTCTTATCAAGACATGCCAGGATTGGATACTGAAATTGTAGTGCATAAACTGCCAATAAAACCAGAGTACAAGCCTGTTCAGCAAAAACTTTGAAGGATGAGACCAGACATGCTATTAAAAATTAAGGAAGAAGTGAAGAAACAATTTGATGTTGGATTTTTACAAGTATCCAAATACCCTGAATGGGTAGCAAACATAGTGCCAGTACCAAAAAAATGGCAAGTTCGGATGTGTGTAGATTACCGAGATCTCACCGAGCAAGTCCCAATGATAATTTTCCACTTCCACTATTGACACTTTGGTTGATAATACAGATATCAAAGAGCCATGGTTTACTTTATTCCATGACTTGATGCATAAAGAAATAGAAGTATATGTGGACGATATGATTGCAAAATTACAAACCGAAGAAGAGCATGTGAAGTCTTGAGGAAGCTTTTTTAAGATTGAGAAAATACCAGCTCAAACTTAATCCAACCAGTGCACTTTCGGAGCTACTTCAGGGAAATTATTGGAATTTGTAGTCAGTGAAAATAGGATAGAGATTGATCCTGATAAAGTCAAAGAAATCTTGGAATTACCAACCCCTAGAACGTAAAAAGAAGTACGAGGATTTTTGGGAAGGTTAAATTATATTGCCAGATTCATCTCTCAGTTAACTGAGAATGTGATCCGTCTTCCGATTATTGAGAAAGCAAACCCGGAGAATGGGATGATAGTTGCCAAGAATGTTTTGATAAAATTAAGAATTACTTGACTAACGCTCCAGTCCTAATGCCACCAACCCCACCAAATAAACCATTGATCTTAACTTGACTGTATTTGAGAAGTCAGATTATTGAGAAAGCAAAACCCAGGAGAATGGGATGATAGTTGCCAAGAATGTTTTGATAAAATTAAGAATTACTTGACTAACGCTCCAGTCCTAATGCCACCAACCCCACCAAATAAACCATTGATCTTAAACTTGACTGTATTTGAGAAGTCAATGGGATGTGTACTGGCACATCATGATGAAACTGGAAGAAGAGAAAGAGCTATTTACTATCTCAGTAAAAAATTCACTGATTGTGAGAGTCGATATTCCTAAATTGAAAAGTTTTGTTGTGCTTTGGTGTGGACTACTAAGATATTGAGACAGTATTTGTTGTATCACACAACCTGGTTAATATCAAGACTGAATCCATTAAAATATCTGATGGAATCAACTGCTTTAACCGGAAGAATGACAAGATGGCAAATGTTGTTGTCCAAATTTGAAATAGTCTATATAAATTAGAAAACAGTAAAAAGAGGTGCTATTGCTGATTTCCTAACAAGCTGAACATTAGAAGACTATGAGCCAGTAAAATTTGATTTTCCAAATGAAGACTTAATGATTATATTTGCGGCGGAAGAAGATACTCCGAATAATGAGGCCTGGAAAATGAACTTTGATGGTGCCTCGAATGCTATGGGATATGGAATTGGGGTAATACTAGTTTCACCAGAAGGAGATCATTATCCTTTTACTAGTAGGCTCTCATTTGAATACAAACAACATGGAAGAATATGAAGCATGTATCTTGGGTATTCAAGCAGCAATTGAGCGTAAAATGAGAATCTTGGAAGTATTTGGTGATTCTGCTTTGGTCATTTATCAACTTCGAGGGGAATGGATGACTCGAGACTCCAAATTGATAGAATACAAGGACTTGTCGATGAATTTGATCAAGGAGTTTGAAGAAATTTATTTCACTTATCTTCATCATGAAGAAAATCAAATGGTGGATGCTCTGGCTACGTTGGCAGCCATGTTTAAGGCTGATGATCAGTCTCGAATGATGCCTATTCAAATGAGTATAAGAGAAATGCCAACTCATTGTTGCAACATTGAGGAAGAGAAGAAAGACGGTCTCGCTTGGTATTACGATATTCTCCAATATGTGAAGTATCGAGCTTATCCAGCTGAGGCAACTGAAAAATGACAAATAAACTTTAAGAAGATTGGCAATAGAGTATGTTCTCGATGGAGACATTTTGTACAAAAAAGAAAATATCAGGTTCTTTTGAGATGTGTGGATAGAATTGAAGCCAAGAAAATACTTTAAGAAGTCCATGGAGGAGTTTGTTGAACATATGCAAACGGATTCACAATGGTTAGACAGATCATGAGGTTCGGATACTATTGGTCCATTATGGAAGAAGATTGCATCAGATTTGCTCGAAGATGTCATAAATGTCAGATCTACAATAACCAAATACAAGTTCCTCCTTCACCACTCCATGTAATGAATGCACCTTAGCCATTTTCAATGTGGGGCATCGATATTATTGGAGTATTTCACCGAAAGCTTCAATGGACATCGTTTTCTTATGGCCATCGACTACTTCACCAAATGGGTTGAAGCTGCCTCTATGCTAATCTCACAAAAGGAGCAGTTTGCAGATTCTTAAAAAAAAGAAATCATTTATAGATATGGAATACCAGAAAGGATCATCACAGATAATGCATTGAATCTGAACAATGATTTAATGAAGGAAGTCTGTACAAAGTTGAAGATCAAACATCATAACTCGACTCCTTATCGCCCAAAAATGAATGGGCCAGTAGAGGCAGTGAATAAAAATATCAAAAAGATCATCACAAAAGCAACTGAAACATATAGAGACTGGCATGAGAAATTACCTTTTGCACTGCTTGCTTATCGCACATCTGTTCATACATCTACTAGGGAAACACCGTTTTCTTTGGCATATGGGATGAAAGCAGATTTACCTATTGAAGTATAAATTACTTCTTTGAGAGTATTGATGGAATTGAAACTTGATGAGGCTGATTGGGTTCAAAGTATTTGATTAATTGAATTTGATTGAAGAGAAAAGACTGAGAGCTATTGTCATAGCCAAATATACCAGAAAAGGATGATGCGGCTTATGAAAGAAGGTTAGACTTCGAGAATTTTATGAAGGTGATTTAGTGCTTAAAAAGATCCTCCCTATGCAAAAGACTTTCGAGGAAAGTGGAAGCCAAACTAAAAGGTCCTTATGTGTAAACAAGGCCTTTTCAGGAGGAGCTTTGATTTGACTGAAATGGATGGAGAAGATTTGCCTAATCCTGTGAATTTTGATTCAGTCAAACGATATTACACTTGAAGAAGAAGAAGAAGAAAAAGAGAAGAAGAAGAAGAAGAAAAAGAAATGAGGGTTCAAGATGAAAACCTAAAATGGGTGTCTTGAAACCAAAGGAGGATTCGAGTTAAAAATCCATAATGGGCGGCTCAAATATTCAAGATTTGAGACGACAGGTTCCCTTGAAAGTCTACTAGTTCAGGGAAATATTCTCATACTCACACATCTTTTGTACGATCTGAATTTTTGAGACACATATCAACTTTCACGGAAAATTTGGATGATGAAATATAACGATTCAACATTTGATATCCATTGTATTTGTTCCTTTATTCTTCATGTAATGTTTACTTGTTTCTTGTTTCAAAGGATTATACTTTTGCCTCTTTTAAATGAAATGTTTTGAATTTAATTAATTACTCATTGCATACAATTACAAAAACAGTGATCAAAAACAACATTGTTTATTATGCTTTACACTGAAAAGTGTCAGAGTACGGGGATTTTAAAACAGGTGTTTATCAGAGAGCACATACAAAAATATGATCATTGAGAAAGAATGGTTAAATTGAGAGTAAATCAGTTTTAACATAATCTTACCTTTCCCAAGCAAAGAAGTCTAAATTTGAAGATGAACAACAAGATAGGCCATTCATTCTGATTGAATTGCTCAGAAAATCAACCAGTGGCCAAAGAATTAACAAAGCAAGATAAACTTTCTCGGGGAGGATCATAGAATCCAAGTTCATGCACAAGAGGTTCAGAAAGTACCACAATCATAACCCAGACATTGGAAAAAGCATAAACTTCATGTGTTATGATCAAAGAGCATCAGAAAACTCAATTTCCAGTCTCGATTTATGCATAACCCTTTAAACATGCATGACAACTCACATACATTTAGATCATCTTTAGGACATATTGCAAATATAAAATCATGGCATATGACATTTGTACAGGATCTTCAAGACCTATCTCATCATTGAATCAATGCATCAATCATCATCAAATATGGCCAGATCTCCTCATCACGTAGGAGCCGTGTCAACTCTGGATAACCAAGATTCATCATAGTATGAGCATTGATAACCAACTGTCCTCATCACATAGGAACTGTGTTATCACCCTTAGATGGCCAAGACTCATGAACAAATGAGCAGTGTTATCACATGACCAGATCTCCTCATTATGTAAGGAGCTGTGTCAACTCAAATAACCGGCCGTCCTCATCACGTAGGAACCGTGTTATCACCCTTAGATGGCCAAGACTCGTGAACAAATGAGCAGTGTCATCACATGACCAGATCTCCTCATTATGTAAGGAGTTGTGTCAACTCAGATAACCAACAGTCCTCATCACATATGAACCGTGTTATCACCCTTAGATGGCCAAGACTCATGAACATATGAGCAGTGTCATCACCTGCCTAGATCTCTTCATTATGTATGAGCTGTGTCAACTCAGATAACCAGCCGTCCTCATCATATAGGAACTGTGTTATCACCCTTAGATGGCCAAGACTCATGAACAGATGAGCAGTGTCATCACTTTACCAGATCTCTTCATCACGTACGAGCTGTGTCGTCTCCCAAATTGAACAACAAATTTCAAAACCAAAAAAAAAGAGAAACGGACAAAATCTGGTTATTTTTTCGTCTTTACCCTATTCTTGTTAACACAAGAATGTACAAAGAGAGGCAGCTGTAAACACCCATTTTTGTCCGGATTTATTATTATTATTATTATTATATTAATAATAAAATTATAATATATTTGTAGGCTTGGACTCAGAGCCCATTACAAGTACCTGAACCAGACCAAAGCCTGAACGGCCCATAACACGACCCAAACTTGGCCCAACTTATCAACCTAACAACAATTAGGGTTTCTAAACCCTAAAATACTAAACAGCTACCACAACAGTGAAGACTCTTCAGCTCCCATCGGCGCCGCTCTTCTTCGTGAATGGACCACTGCTGAATGACCCCAAGCTTTCGTCGATCAACATGGACGTCATCACTTACGTCAAACATCACTCAAAAGCACACACAAAAAATCTGACAGGATATTAGTGCTCCATTAAACATATTTTTAAATAAAATAAAATCTTGAAAAATCAGTAGAATACCCTACTCACTATTCGATATCAGTGGAAGATCCACTACACAACAACTATAAATGGAGGCTTGAAAGAAAGAAAAGGGGGAAGGCAATTTTCGCAGAGAGATTCGAACAGTGAGGTGCTCGAACAAGAAAAAGAGAGAAAATTATAGTTTGAAAAAATAGAGAAGGAAAGAGAGTGCTTACCGAGGAGTGTGGTCATTGGAGGCTGTGGACACCGGAATCACCTAGTCTCACCGGTTCTTCGAGAGGTAAACTTGTAGATCTACAAATCTAGGAGGGTTTTTCGTGTAAACTAGCTTGAGATTTGTTAAGGAGGGAAAGACGAATTTTTGATAAGGGTAAGGTTGCTCCGGCCACCGTGAACCGCCGTGGGTCGGCGCCGGTGAACGACGGTCTTCTACCCTCACCGATGAGAGTTGAGAGAAAATGTCTCTCTCTCTCATCCTTCAGTTTAAAACCGAATAAAATGAAGTGTTTAGCCGATTTTTGGCTTTTTTTAGAGTTATATAACATATCCAAACGAATTAGTTTTGGAAAAGGATTTGTTTGTAATTTTATTGTGGTTAATTACATTTAAGAGGCTTCTGTGTTTGTATATTTATTTATAGTCACCTAACACGTTTTATTTATATTGTATTCATGCATCATATTTTTAAATAGCATATTTTGGCCACCTTAAATTATATATGAATTTTGTATATATATAAATTGTTATCTTGATTTATGAAATTTGCATTTTAGTCACTATTTTGTATTTTACATTAAACCTTAAATTGACTATATGTTTTAATTGCATTATATTTTAGCCTTTAATATTAATGGATTATTTATATTTTCAATACTTACAATATTTAATATTTTAATTTTGGTTTTGGTTTATTGTTCATTTAGTCTTAATTATTTTGTTTTTGTTAAAATGAAATCTTGTAATTATGTTATGAAATTAGGTATATTTTTCTCCCATTATTACTACACATATGTGCATATTATATTATTATATATGTTTTATTACTTATTTGTATACTTTTCATGTAAATTATTAGTTTTTTTAGTTAAAGGATTATTTTAATTAATTAATTTGAAGTAAATTAATTAAATTCAATAAATAGATCATAATTTAACTTTATATTCAATTCATAATTTTCACCATTTATGACAACGTGTAAGCGACACAATACTGATTTTGGGCGCTGTGAGGGTGTTAATCCTTCCCCACGCGTAATCGACTCCCGAACCCGCTTTAATCGAATCTTTGTAAACGCAGACCAGCTTTTGTCTTAAAAATAATTTTTCTTAAAATTGTTTTTAAAAGACTTTTTTAGGTATTCGACCTACCTAACCCAAAGGTCGATGGCGATTCTTTTTCAATTTAATTCCAATTAATCCAAAATCACCAAATTTTCCAAATTAAAAATCGTAACTGTTTTTAAAACAACATTTAATTGTTAATATTTAATTGTTCCACCTAAAAATGGTTATGACATAGAGGATTGGCCCAACATAGTCCACATTCCGCACACTGAAATCCGGTGATTTTCTACTTTAGAATTTTATGATAATTTCATGCAACACAATTTCTTATTCTGGTTGATTGAGTTTGAGTAATCTTGCAATTATCAAACAACAGTTAAGAATACTGACAGCACAAAGGAGCCATGGTTAAGTCTCTTACAAACGTCATTCATCCGTGTCTGTTATTAATGTTATCTGCTGCATAGAATTCATCAGTCA